ATGATGAGGGATGTTGAGCATTTTTTCATGTGTTTTTGGCTGTTTCTATGTCTTCTTTAAAGAGTTGTTTATTCAGTTCATTTTCCCATCTTTTAATTGGGTTGATAATTTTCTTCTTGATAAGCCACTTGAATTCCCCTGTGTATTCTGGTTATCAGTCCCTTATCTGAGAAACAGTTAACAAAATTTTTCTCCCATTCTGAGGGTTGTTGATTCACACTAATCACTGTGATTTTTGCTGTGCAAAAACTTTTTGATATGACATAATCACACGTGTCTATTTTGGGGATTATTGCCTGTGATTTGTGGGTCTTGCTTAAGATGTCTTTGCCTTCAATGTCTCTTAGTTTTCCACCACAAGTTTTATAGTTTGCAGTCTTACATTTAGATGTTTTATTCACTTTGAGTTGATTTTTGCTAGTGGTGACAGCAGTTCACATTAATTTTTTTGCAGGTGGATACCCAGTTTTTCCAGCATAATTTGTTAAAGGGGTTTTCCTTTTCCCACTGGATTGACTGGTACCTTTTGTCAAAGATTAGTTGGCTTTATCTTTTGAAGTTTGTTTCTGGGGTCTCTACTCTGTTCCTTTGGTCTTCATGTCTGTTTTTGTGGCAATCCCATGCTGTTTTGATTATCACAGCTTTGTAATATATTATTCAGTCAGGAAGAGAGATGCCACCCACTCCACTCTTCCTGCACAGGATGTCTTTGGAAATACATGATATTTTATAATTCCAGACAGGTTCTGATCGTCTTTTCTAGATCTGTGAAGAATGTCTCTTGTAATTTTATAGGGTTTGAAATAAATATGTAGATTAATTTGGGTAGGATTGCCATATTGTTTATATTAATTCTGTCCATGAAGGAACATGGGATGTCCTTCCACTTTTTTATGTCCTTTTTGATTTCTTTTAAAATATTTTCATAGTTTTCCTTATAGAGGGTTCTCATTTCTTTGGTTAGTTTTATTCCTAGGTATCTTAAAATTTTGTGGCTATGGTAAATGGGATTACTTTCTTTAGTTTTGTCACTGTCTTTTTGTTGTTTGTATATAGAAATACTATAGATTTTTGTAAGTTAATTTTGTATCCTGCCACTTTATTGTATACTTTTATTATTTTAAGAAATTTCTTTGTGGATACTATTAGGTCTTCTATGCATACAATCATGTCATCTGCAAACAGAGATAATTTCAACTCACCTTTCCCTATTGTAATGCATTTTATTTCCTTCTCTTGTCTGATCGCATTGTCTAGGACTTCCAGTACTATATTGAATAGGAGTGCAGAGAGTGGATAGCCTTGTCTTGTACCAGTTTTCTGTGAAAAAGCTTTTAGCTTTTCCCTATTCCATATAATGTTACCTGTAAGTTTTTTCATAGATTGCTTTTATTATGCTGAGAAATGATCCTTTTATGCCAATATTACTGAGAGTCCTAATCATGAAAGAATGTTGTATTTTGTCAAATGCTTTTTCTGCATCAATTGAAATGATCATGTGGTTTTTATTTTTCTTTCTGTTAATATGGTGTCTTACATTTGTGGTTTTGAGTATGTCAAATCACCCTTGCATCCCTGGGTTAAAGCCTACCTGATTGTGATAAATAATCTTTTTTACATGCTGTTGAATATTGTTAGTAAGTATCTTGTGGAAAATTTTTGCATCTATATTCAGAGATATAGGTCTTCAGTTTTCCTTTTTTTTTTTTTGTCATATCCTTATCTGTTTTTGGAATGAGAGTGATGGAGGCTTCATGGAATGAACTTGGAAGGGTTCCTTCCTTTTGACTATCTAGAAACAGTTTGAGTAGAATGGGGTTACCACGTCTTTAAAAGTTTTGTAGTATTCAATAATGAAGCCATTGGGACCTGGACTTTTCTTTGTTGGGAGGTTATTTATTTATTAAAAAAGATTTATTTATTTAATTTATTTATTATCTTTTTTCATTTTTTAAAATGGGACCAGCAGTTAATGTAATGGCTATTTCGCTGGACTTCCACGTAGTCGACCACAGTTCGAGTCCCGGACCTGGTGGCTTAAACTCACGCCGGGCGTGTGTGTGTGCCCACGATCCTGAGAGGAGAATAGAAGAGAAGGGATTGCGGCATGGTCATCCCCCCTGGTGGGTGATTTCTCGCTTTCTATCTCTCTGTCTCTGTCTGTCTGGTGAGCGCATG